TCCGCACCCAGCCCAGGGGCGGCCTCGAGCCCGCCTCTTGCTGGCGGCGCCTGGCCCCTGCCTCCGCCTCCCGGGCCCGGCGCCGGCCTCTCCCGCCTTCCCGCAGCCGCCTCCGCCGGTCCCTGCCACTGCGGGACGGGTGGCTTCCCCACCCTGGCCCTGGCCAGCCGGCCTCCGCACTCGCTCGCAGGCTCACTGGGCCCTGCTGGGGGCTCCTGGCAAGAGAGGGAGAGGGAAGGAAGAAGAAGGGAGAGGATCCCTGACTCAGAAGAGGTGACTCAGCCTCCGTGGGCCTTCCATCCCACCCGAGTCCCCCTCACTCCTCCGCAGTACAGTGCCGGGCAGAACCTTCCTGGGCTGTAGAATTCTGCCCCACTAGGATAGGATGCTGGCATGGCAACTGTCTTCTGGGTCTTCAGGGCCTCAGTATCCCTGGGGTGTGTGAGTCCCTATGTGTCTTGGTAACAAGGGCAGTAACAGTGGAGGAACCTAGTCTGCGTTGGACCTGTGTGATGTTTACCGTATGTGAAGACATCACACACACACACACACACACGTATGTGTGTGTGTGTGTGTGTGTGTGTGTGTGTGTGTGTGTGTGTGCTCTAGGAAGGGGCCACAGAGGTCATGGCTTAAAACCAAGCTAAGCCCTGCCTCTCCCCTCCAGCAGCAATTACAACCCTAAAAGCAGGTTCTACCAAGGGCACCTCCCTCTTATCCAATCCTCAGGCAACCACAGAGCACTCTGGGAGACAGAAGACCTGAGTTCCAGTTGGGTTCAACCACTGGCTCTGCGAGTACCCTTGGCAAATTGCTGCTATGCTCCAGGCCTCAATTTGTAAACCATGAAAGAAAAGATTGGGCTTGGATCGACCTGTCTCTAGGGCCACAGTTTGTGAAGAAGGCCTGGGGGAGAAGGGGGTAACTTGCACATGGCCACCAAACATTGCTTCCATGGTTCCATACTGACAACCATGTGACCCTGACCAGCAACCCAAGTTTACACAGGTCTTCTTCCGATCATCTTGCATAACTCTATGCAAGACTACCATTCTGGGCATCCTGAAGCTGTGAACACATAGATGTGGTCTGAACCCTCTATCATCGACACCCCTCTGCATGGTGCAGTTATGTCAGCGTTGGCCTCAACAGTGAATTATCATCTCTGCTCAGCCTGCTGTCCTCTCTCCCTCCACCCCTTCCTCTCGGGTGCCCTAGGGCCTCCATAGGCCCAAAACTCTCTTGCATTGCTTAGAGACCCCAAGATAGCAGCTGTGTCCCTTTGCCCCACCATCAAGCCAGGCCTTCTCTTCAGGGTAAACAGGTGCCTCAAGACCTGCCTCCCAGGACCTTCCTGTTCCCTGCTGCCCACTAGACTCTGGAGTGGACAGGAGCGGAATGAAGTCAGCATGACCAGGTCCTGGAGAGCATACCCTTCCTCTAGACAGGAGGGGAAAGACAGACAGACCAGTCAACTCAAGACAAAATGGAAGAACTTCCGTATAGGTAGCCTCACCCAAGTTCTTAGGAGTGTGGCATGGGAGTAATTCACTGCCACTCAAGAGTGCACACTATTTGAGTTCAGTGATCATTCAAATGAATGACAGAATCTGTGAAACTTAGGAGTGACATCAGCTGGACTTACTGCTCCATGGGCACATATGTGGAAAGGTCCTCTACTGCCTGCCTTTGGGTATTTTGCTTTCCAAATCACAGGCTGCCAAGGCCAAGGCCCTCCCCATTCTTCCTAGTTTTAACTCTTTCCCACACATCTCTTCTCCAGACAGCGCCCGCCCCCATTCCTCCCTTGGGGCACAGCCTGGTTCCCAGCCTCCTCAACTACATGGAGCCTCTCACTTTCCCAAGAAAATCCAGGCTACACTTTAGGACCAAGGCAGGATGTTCCCAGACTCATTCTGGATTCATACCCAAAGGGCCCAATTCACTTCCGGTCAAGGGCAACACACTGAAAACTGGGCTGCTCTAGGATGATGGTTATTTCTATTTCTGTTGTTTTTATCATTACTTTCTATGAGTATTGTTTTCTATTATTATTAGCACTTGCCATTTTGCAAACTACTTGATTTTCACAGCATCTTTTGAGTTCATATCAACCCTGCCCCTAATTTATAAATAGGTTACCAAGGTCTGGAGTAGTGAGTGATTTGGCCAAGGTAATGTGGCCTCTCAGGACCAGATCCTTTCCACTTACCCACAATAATCCTCTCCAGAGAAATCAGGCACAAGACAGGGTGGGGACCCCAAAGAATGTATGGGCATCACTGAAATCACTGTTCAGTTACTTTTTGGCTTTCATTCCCCAAGCAGAGAAACTGACACATAGGGTTCAACCTGACCATGTCCCATGGAAGCCCCTATGGAGAAATGCCAGGGACCCTGGTGAGGAAGAACAGCCCACCCCACCATATCCTTAGATGTGAATTAGTCGGCTTCCAGCCCTTCTGCTTAACTTGCAGAAGTTATTTGACCTCTCTAAGCCTCAGTTTTATCACCTATAAATTGAGAGAAACTCCCTGCTGCCATCTGTTACTGGGCTGCTGTGAAGGGAGGTCAGCAGAGGCTGGCAGAACAGAGGACAGGACCCCATATTCCTTCTCTGCTCTGTTCTTTCCTCCTAAATTTTAATATTTTTTATTTATTATTTTTATTTTATGTGTATGCGTGTATTGCCTACATGTAGGTAAGTGCACCCATGTCGTGCAATGCCCTTGGAGGACAGAAGAAGCTGTTGGATCCCCTGGGAGTGGAGTTACGGACAGTGTTAGCTGCTATGTGGGTGATGAGATTTGAACCCGAGTGTTCTGCAAGAACAGCCAGTGTTCTTAACCATTGAGCCATCTCTCTAGCCTCCTCCTCCTAAATTTTAATGATGAGGGGATGTGAAGGTGCAAAAGTCCAGGATCCAGGAAAGCCAGGACAAAGTGGACAGCAGAGTACACAGCATCAGCCCCAGGCCTCCAATACCACTACAGGGAAGTGAGTGAGACAGTCCACCAAACACTTCAGACAGGACTCCTCCAGCCCCTTTGACCTTTCAAAGGAGGAAACTCACTCTGAGCAAAGCAGAACTTGCCAAAGTTACCCTTTGGTCGTCACTGGTCTTGGGATTCCCAGTTATTCTAGGCTTCTAGGAGGACTAGGGGTTAGGCAGACAGGAAGGGGCGAGAGGTGTTTTCAGTGGCAGGACTCACATCTTTCATTCAAAAAGCCAAGCTGTGGACACCAGAGAAGGAGAAACTGGGGAGTCTTCCCTTGAATTCACAATGACCCAGTGGGTAAGAACAGCACATAAGTGAGCAAGAGCCCGGTTTTCCAAGCATTTCCTCCTCTGTGCCTAGCACTAGACACACGTGCATTTGTTTAATCTTTGCAACAATTCTCTGGCCTTGAAATTACCTAATCCCTTTTACAACGGAAGTGACTGAAGCTCGGAGGGATCAGTGACTTGCCAAAGTTTACCCAGCTAATAAATGGCAAGGCCAGGATGTGACCACCAGAGCTATCTGTTGCCAAACCCTGAGCTACAATTCTCACAAACTCCCCACTGCCTCTAGGGCTATGTTTGTCAACATGGGAGCCACTGGCCATATGTGGCTATCAAGCACTGAAATCTGCAAATGGAATGTGCTGTAAATGTAAGATGGACACTGGATTTTGAAGTCTTAGTACTAAAATGAAAGAGAAGTCCATTTATCTCATTGATAATTTCTGTATTACTGTTATGAGGTCAGGCATATGAGAGATGGAGACACCAGAATCAGGAGTTCAAGGCCAGCCTGCACTACTATCCCAAAAGAGCAAACAAACAAATTAATTAATAATAAATAAATTTAAATTGTTGATATATTGTGGGTTAAATAAAATATTCCATTAGAATAATTTCATTTGGGGGTTGTATATGCTGGGATCCGACCTAGGGTCTTGTGCATGCTAAGTGAGCACTCTATCTCTGACCTACAACTCTAGCCCTGGCCTTTTTGTGTGTATGTGTTAAGTGTGAGTATGTGTGTACGTGCAGTGTGTGCACATGTATGTGTGGATGCGAGCACATGTGGAGGCCAGAGGTAGACATCTGGTGTCTTCCTCAGTTGCTCTCCACTTGATATTTTTTGAAACAAGGCCTCCTCACTGAACCCAGCACTCCCCTCTTGGCCTGACTGGCCGGCCAGTGAGCTCTGGTGATCCACTTGTCTCTGCACCCTCAGTTCACACAGCACTGCTGCTGTGCCCACTTTTTAAAAAAAATTTATGTGTTTGAGTGTTTTGCTGCCTGCATGTATTTAAGTGCACCCACATCCTGCAAAGCCAAAGGAGGCCAGAAGAGGGCATTGGATCCCCTGGAAGTAGAGTTAGGGATGTTTATTAGCCCCCATATGGGTACTGAGAACATAACCTGAGTCCTCTAAACAAGTAGCCAGTGCTCTTAACTGCTGAGCCATCTCTCCAGCCCTGTGCCAAGCTTTTATATGTGAGTGCTGGATATCCAAACTCAGGTCCTCGCGATGTGCAGCAGGCACCCTGGTGACCGAGCCACCTGCCCAATCCCACCCCCCTTTTTTTCTTTTGGAAATGGAATCTTGCTGTGACCTGTACTTGACCTCCTGGGCTCAAGGGATCCTCCCAAGTGATGAGACTAAATGCATGTGCTAATT